TCGTCTACAGTGGGACTTCATACTGATCCTAGCTCTTGGGAGCAACCGTCTAAGTGTGTGTGTCACACCCTGTTTCTAAGGGCTGTTCATGTGCAGGGGGGCCATCCCTCTCACCAGTGGTGGATGGCCACCGAAGAGGCCACCGGTGAGGGCTGTAAACGTACCTGCACAAACACACCAACTCCAATGGTTCTCCCTCCGCGGTTTTGTTGTTTTCATGGTGGTTTTCATGCTATTCCCAGAGTTGCTGCTGAGCCACCGCCGCTTTCTGCAGACAAGTGAACCAATTGTTAAACATTCCAAGTGCGCTGACTCCTTCACCGTGCCGTTCCCTCGTCCCTTTCACTGTGGACTAGGACACCACTTCCGGCACTTTGTACCAATTCAGTTGCTGTAATATGCAGCATATGATCAATAAACTATGTAACTAACGTAACTCTCATTGATCCTTCTCCCATGGAACAAAGTGCCACTAATATATGCAAGGGTAGGAGTATTCAAAAGTTCCCATTTTCGTGAATGCATCATGTACTTTCCCTCATGTGCAAGCGACCAAAGCAAAAAGAGTCATGAACCTGCTTGTTTTTGAGGTTCAAGCTGATGAAGACATGATCGGCAGGGTGGCAAGAACCAGCAGGGTTGTCACCAATTCAAGTTGTAATGCGAACACTACAGCGATGCCTGATGGCATCCTTTAAGCATTGGGTGGCACTCGGCTACATCAAATGAAAGCGTGGCAGTTGGAGATTGAAGTTCAGTATTCATGCCTCTTCGAAGAAAAGAATGTGCGCATGCAGCAGCCAGTTCCAACATGCATGGTAGATTGTGCTCTTAGGTCTTTTGCAAGATTGGTGGATTTTTGAAAACCCGGTTTTTCATGTAAGAACCCGGTTATCTTCTTGGTACCTACTTTTTCTGTGGTTGTTGGATCTCTTTTGATAAACTGCGCGAATGATTCGATACATGGGCTTTCGGGCTATAGTATAGATCTAGTAACTGAGTAAGTCTAGCACTTGCTAGACTACCCCCCTGCTCCACTATCCACCCAACATCCCTTTACAACGCCTTCAAGGTGCCTTGCTCCGTGATGGGCTTTTGGCAACGCCAGCCTCGGATGAGAGGATGGCATGTCTGTGTTGAGTCCCTTTTGATGTTTTAACTGAACATTTTGGTGTGTCACGAAAGGAACAAGAATCAACCGACTTCCTAATTTTATCTGCTTTTTGCTTGGAACGCCTCGAAGAGAAGCCGCGATTTGGGGTCCAACTGCCCAGAAATTCAAGCAAGTGACGCTGCCAATTGAGCAAGCCAGGCTTGTTAAGGCCGACCCATCCTCCAATCCATGTGAAATGTATTTACATTGACCATCATTGATCCACTCATTGACCCTTAACACATCCTCAAATCATTTTGGAACACACGATTAGGATCATTTTGGAACACATCGAGTGCAGTCCGTCTAGGACCATTTGTGAACATGATTAGGATTATTTTGGAACACAAAAATGCATCCGCAAAGTCTTCCTCTCAAGAATAGTACAATATTTTTTTTGTCCACCCAGCCCTCCTAAAAGCATCCCAATAGGCAAATACTCCATACATGGATTTTGAGGACTATTAAAACATCAAGCACTGGACGATTGACTAGCGAAAACCCGGCGGGAACAGACTTGAAGGTATCTGCACACTGGCCACGGAACTATAGACTAGTGTGGCTGATGCATCTGTTGCATCGTGCAACTCCCAAATGTATTATTATATAGACCCAAGATGGTGTATCCAAGTGAGCGTATCTGATATCAATCTTCTGTGCACCCTCTGAATCTTCTTCCTCTTGCAACTTGCTCACGCTCTGAAGCTTCTTTCCTAGCATCTTCTAGCCCTCCGCTCGGCTCAAATGGTCAAGGCGCAATAATATCGATCGCGACAGCTGCGCGCCTTGCAGCCTCCGCAGAACCAGTCGCCTGCTGCTGCGCACCGTGCACCGTTGGGCTGTGCCTTGTGCCTTTTCCATCCACCGCGCAGGCCATGGTCAGCACCAATGGTGCCTTTTGGGCGTGGTATAACGGCCAAGTGATCACTTCTATGCAACAAAGGAGATCAAGCTGACTCTTTGGGGTTAGCTCGGTGAGCTCAGACTTGATCTTGGATTTGCTTAAGGCACCTGGAAAGAATATAAACGATTCAGCGGAAGTGGATGGAACCATAGGGAAAAAATCATCTTTAAGCAAAACCAGGTAATTGGCGTCTTTGGAACAATGAGTAATGCAGCATATAATTTTGGGAACACACACTTCGGAAGTACCTCTGACTCCAAAGTCTTTAAATAGGATGAGGGCTGTCTCATTCAAACCGAGACCTTTCTACTATCAAAGTGGTACTTTGACTTCAGCTGTTTAGATCGAACCATGAGGGATGTTCTGTGCAGCCATGTCGGATATTTCTGATGATGACACATCTTCGATCAGCTCTGCACTCTATGACTTGGAGGCAGCTGGAAGAACTAATTTCTTGCTGAAACGTGTATCCCACATTATGTGGTGCAGGAAATCAACGATGAAGTTGATGAACATCTATGCAAGTGGCTGGAGATGGCTCCAGGATTCATCATGAGCTCTGGTAACTTTGCATTATATAGTCAAGAGGAGTCTTGGGAATGTTTAGAGTAGCAATTTGAAGCCATAAGGTTTGACTGCTTGGCTTTCTCAATTTCGCGGGGACTTTACCTATGCCTCAGACTGTTCCTGAGCTGCAGTAGGTACACATTTGAGGTCGCTTTTCCTTTAATGTTTGGACATTGGTTGCTTTCAGGCAGTGGTGCTGACGTTCCTTACCAAGCAGTTGAAACCATATTCTGGAGCGCTCAAAAGCTTGACAATGTCAACTTCTTGTCACTTGCTTCGAATATGAGTCAAATTTGTTCTGGTGACCTGGACCTAACCATGGGATAAGTCACTAAGGAGTGCCTCTGAGTGTCATCCGCAGAAGATGGCATTCCTTCAAGCCAACTTTCCATCATGTGGCCAGTTACTTTTCATGCAAATTAAAGATGATGGGTGGCCCCCGAGCATTAACTTACTGCTTGCCATCTAAGGTTCGTGGACAACATGTTTATTTCCGAGTCAAAGAAGTGGCAAATCCATGATGCTGCTTGGTGGTAATATGGGTCAGTTGGCTTTAGTGTGTAGTTGAGTTCATTTCCACTGGAACCTAGGTCAGCTTATATGTGGTTGGCTTCCCGTGCCAACCATACTCACTGTTGAGCCAAAGCCGGAAAATGTTGTCCGATCCGAATGCACGCCAGATGGTCAGAACAATCCGCCGGATCCGGCGATACCGACCAAAAGTGGCTTGTCAATTGCTGTGTGTGAGATGTTTCTCATGTCATCTCATGTCTATGTATGCATCTTGTGCTGTGCTCAGGTGGTGGTGCTTGAGAATGTGCTCGGATTTAAGCCGGTCCTTCCGCACTTGGTGGCATTGATCCGGGCGAATGTTCCAGGGCCTCTGAGCTGCACTGGCATCCAGTCAAGCCAATGCCTTCAGCAAAAGGTAGCTACTTATTCTTCAGGTACAAGATGAGTGTCAACATTCTGTGCCCGCAACTTGAACTTTTTACATTGTGTCATCAAACCTTTTTGTGGGATTAAATCTTGCGTGTGTGTTGATTTGATTGATTGAGCTAAGGACCTTGTTTGGATGTCCGATGTCCAGACGGCGAATCTTCCTTACACTTGTGAGGATGGACGTGCTTCAAGATCTGGGTTGCGAAAGCTTCAAAGGTGCTTTGCTGAGGCGGCTCTCTGGACAAATGCGACCGGTTGCTACCAGATGGACTTTCAGCTGCAGTTGTTCACTTCCAAGCTCATCAGATGTTCTTTTCCTCACCCAAGGCAAGACTTGCTCCTCAGTCGGGACCATCCAGTGGTGAGGCTTAATCGCAAGAAGAAAGAAGGCTTGCGACTTCAGAATGCAACGAAGCTCTTTAGCTTAATTAGATTCAGATGTATTGTATTTTTTGGGTCTCCAGCTGGCAACATGAGAGATGCTGACATGCTCAGGCCAATCAAGACAGATGCAAAATGGATCAAAAAGCATAAAGACTGGGCAAAAACTCATCAGGCCTTTTTTTCCTGTGCTTTTAGGTTGATGAGTCGTTGTTGGAGTGCAGGTGGATATTCCACAGGCCGTTCACTTCTTCAAGCAGAAATATGCAGAAGCTGCTCGCTATGTAACCACAGCTCGTGAGATGCAGGCCTGTTCCAAGACACCTATTCTACTATTTCACATTTTGGCTGATGCTGAATGCAGGCCATATCCATCTTGACAGCAGTTCACAATGTCTCCTGTGCCAACACCTCGCAGACAATAGACCACATGCCTTTTTCAGTCAAAGGCCGCAGTGACATCCTTCCATGTCTTACGATCCTTGACTGCCCAAGAGTTGCAAGAGTTTCCTGTTGTTGTGTCCAGTTTCAGTTGCACTTTGCTAGCATGCTTTGTTCTGAGGCCAAGTGGAAAGTTTCTGATCCTGGAGGAGAGCAACTACCGGTACATGACGGGCCTTGAGGCGGCGATGCTGATGGGGATGCCTTGCCACCGACTGATCCATAAATCAACACCAGATCATGCTCCTTGTCTGACCTTCTCTGCATCATGTTCCTTTGTTGCTACCTGTGCTATGCCTAGGTGATGCACTCCTTAGCCGGGAACGCTATCAGTATGCACTGCATCCTCCCGTTGCTTTGTGCAGTTCTTGCCTGCACAAGGCCTGATAGAATGTCTCAGCCTGGAAGGATGCAGTTCTCTCGAGGAAAACCAACCATTTGGAGCTGGCAGTCTGCAATGCAAACATTGACAAATTGCATAAAACTGTGCCAGCGTTTTGTGCTGTGTTTTTGGCCTAAAGAATACAGTTTCATTTCAATGACAAGACTTGTCTTCAGTGAGGGTCTAGATAATACGTGTTCCAGATAAGGGAAATTGTATACAGTACAACAAACTCAAGAACAGTTGTTGGACACCATGCCCATTTTGGGACGCTATGATGCTGATGCTGACCAGCAGAGCCAACATCTTTGGCGGTATGACCCCACCAGTTCAGACTCAGATTCTGAATCAGAGACACTTGGCCTGAAGTTTGTAAAGCTTCAAGCACATTGAACGTACTGTAAGTAAATGTTTGAATAGCCAAGGACTTCTGGTGATGGTTCAAGTTCATCTGGATCTTCTCATGATGGTTCAGGGGATGGCCAGGGCGGGATGGGATCTGTGGATCTTGGCCTCGAGCTTCTGCACTCAATGCATGCAGTGTCTTCAAATGTCAACAAGGATGCAACAGCCTATGACCGTCAAGGAATGGACAAATCAAGGATCAAACATGCTGTGAAACAGCCTCGATGCAAATGTCAGTGCACTGCACCATTCCAGATCGTGCTCAAAGTTTGTGTTGCCTTTTGGATGTTGACAAAGGCAGGACAGGACACCGTACTATGGAACATACAGCATTCGCAACCTGGAGACCGGAAGGAGTGGTACATTGCAGGACTGATTGTAAATGCACAAACAACAGCACATCAGATCAGTAGCATTCAATTATATAACAACTTGGAAGGACAACATGTCTGTAAGGTGGCATGGCTGTATATGATGGGCATTGGCAGACAACGGCTTCAGAGATGCAAGAAAATGTGGAATGGAAAGGATGGAAGGTCTTTACGAGGATTCTTTTTTGAAATATTTTCAGTGTACACAGACACATGTTTGGGTCCGTCCATTAATCTTGCCCCTGTGAATTAAAGCTCTCAGGAGAGACAGCTCATCCACCTATCAAGGCTGCATCTGTCAACGCCTTCATGGTACATATGTACTGGACGGCTGGAGAGCCAATGACAGTGGAGTGCCTTGGCTAAACTTGCATTAAAAAAGGATTGTATCATCCAAGTTTACATTGCATATTCATGATTGGCTTTCAAATGTTTTCAGGATTGCCACCAAAGCAACCCTCGATCAAGCTGATGAGCCTCTGAGAGAGGAGCTTCTACAGCGCCTTATCGATAGCAGATTGATGGGAGCTTCCCAACAAGTCAGCTTCAACCACGACCCAGCCAGGTTGCCAGTTCGAGAGCTGCCTCACTCTACATGGAGTGAAATGTTCTTGCTTTACAAAGCTTACATGAAGACCAACGGGCAAGAGCCAGCATCGAAGTCATTGTTTTTCCGACAAATCAAAGGATGGAAGCAATGCATGCGCTTCCATCAAAAAACCCATCACGCACAATGCATGACATGCTGCCGATACAGGTCTGCCCTGCAGAATGCGACTGAAACTTGTTCATCCATTGGTTAAGCGTTTGCTTTCACCACAGCACAGGATTCAAATTTAGAACATTGGATTCCTTTCCTGGATGTTGCCTTCAGGACTTCCAGGAAGCTGCGAAGCTATCAGATGGGCTTTTGGGGCATTACAGTGCCACATGGCGCGACAGGTCTGTGTACTACCTCGCAAGAGAAAGGGCCAAGTGTCAAAAGGATCTATTGGTGATGATTCAAGACACATACGACCACACGAAAATGAGTTTGCCGGCTTGGCCCCGACGGCGATGCCCCAAGAAGCCAATCTTTGAAGCGACCAAAAGTAACATGTCTTGAACAGTAAGAGTTTGATTCTGTGTTTAAAGTGCAGCTGCCAGCTCTTTGACGGTATCCAATGAGGAACTCAGTTGACCTTAACCGGTACTATAATCCATGGATTCGGAGTGTACTTCTGGATTGGACAAGAAGGCCAACCTCAAGGATCAAATTGGACGATCGAGTGTGCGACTTGTTTGCAGTGTATTTCAGCTGCTAACCTTTATTTTGCTCTTGGTGCACTTGAGTGCAAGGCTATGAGAGCCATTGACAAAGCTTGGCAGAAGGCAAGATCCATTGGCATTTCCTTTCCACAGGAGTGCACGACTTAGAT